GGATGGATGCATGGATGGATGGATGGATAGAGGGATGGATGGATGATGGATGGATGGTGGATGGATGGATGGATGGATGGATGCATGGATGGATGGATGGATGGATAGAGGGATGGATGGATGATGGATGGATGATTGATGGATGGATGGATGATTGATGGATGGATGGATGGATGGATGATGGATGATTGATGGATGGATGGATGATTGATGGATGGTGGATGGATGGATGATGGATGATGGATGATGGATGGATGGATGGATGGAAGGATGGATGGATGGATGCATGGATGGATGGATGATGGATGGATGGATGATAGATGGATGGATGGATGGATGGATGGATGGATGGATGGTGGATGGATGGATGGATGGATGATGGATGGATGGATGATGGATGGATGATGGATGGATGATGGATGATGGATGGATGGATGATCCAGATGTTCCAGTGGATCAAATCCATCCTCCTCAATGCTTAAATGATCCACACAGTAAACTTGCTGATCTTCTGACCTGCAGATGTTAAAGATCCTAAATGTCCTCCTCCTCCTCCTCCTCCTCCTCCTCCTCCTCCTCCTCCTCCTCCTCCTCCTCCTCCTCCTCCTCCTCCTCCTTCTTATTCTTCTTCTTCTTCTTCTTCTTCAGACTTTCCTTGAACGACAGGCGGCCTCTGAGCCGCCGGGGACCCAGCAAAGGACCTGAGGTCAGAGGTCAAGCTTCAGCCGTCTGTTTCTGGGTACATAGATGCCTTTATACAGGATGAGCTGAAAGTCATGGTTTCGCCTGCAAACACACCTGGAAGCAGGTGTTCTGGTAATGAACTGACTGGCCTTGAATGGGTTCAGCATTTCATCTTCCTTCAAATGAAAAATGGTTTTCTATTTTCTTTACCTTTAGGAAACATTACAGGGATCCATCTGAACTAACAATGTTTTATGATCTGATTCACATTAAAGCACATTTCATGCTGAGTGAACAGCTGCTGATCGATGAAAGGATGAATGTGAGGATAGAAAGTTCTCATCTTTGGCTTTTTAACTCTGATTCATTTTCTACGTTTGCACTTCTTCACATTTGATCAATGTGAACTTTTTTTTTACAAAAACATGTCAGAGGATGAAAGAGAGCACATCCAGTTAGTCACAGTCAGAGAAACAGGACTACACTGGAAAACAGGCCAAGCTCCAACATCTAGAAACAAAGGTGTTGATGGCAGCAGCACAGCTGATATTTCTCTCCAGGATGGAGTCACAGCCAAACAGGAACAGACCAGATGAAGCTACTATGAGAAAAAGCAGAGAGAGCAGAACGTTAGAGATTGAACTAACAGATTCTGCAGAATAGGAGAATAGAGATAGAATGAAGCAGAATGATGAAAAAGGGGTCCCTATGTCCTCCAGCAGTCTAAGCCTATAGCAGCAGAACTATAGAGATAGCTCAGGATAACCTGAGCCACTCTAACTAGAAGCTTTATCAAAAAGGAAAGTTTTAAGCCTAGCCTTAAAAGTAGACAGGGTGTCTGCCTCACAGACTAAAACTGGTAGTTGGTTCCACAGGAGAGGAGCCTGAGAACTAAAAGATCTGCCTCCCATTCTACTTTTAGAAATTCTAGGAACCACTAGTAAACCTGCAGATTGAGAGCGAAGTGCTCTGTTAGGAACATAAGGAACAATCAGATCTCTGATATCAGATGGAGCTTGGCCATTTAAGGCTTTATATGTGAGAAGGAGGATTTTAAATTCTATTCCGGATTTAACAGGAAGCCAATGAAGAGAAGCCAGGATAGGAGAGATATGATCTCTCTTTTTCATTTTCATCAGAACTCTGGCTGCAGCATTTTGGATCAGCTGAAGGCTTTTAACTACAGTTTGAAGATTAAGTGACTGACTAACCAGCTCATTTTTCAAAGACTATAACTTCTGTTTTGTCTGCATTCAGAAGCAGAAAGTTAAGAGTCATCCAGGTTTTTATGTCTTCAGACATGCCTGTAATCTATGTAATGGGTTAGTTTCTTCTGGATTATAGACAGATATAGCTGCGTATCATCAGCATAAGATATTTTGCCAGTTTGGACTTTATTTAATCTAGTTTGTGTCATGGAGATTTAGAATCTATTATTCTTCAGAGACCTTACCAAGAGGACAGCAGCATATAAAACAAATTCAAAACATTAAAATTTTTCTAAAACTCCCACATGATATATTTACACACTTTTTAGAATGTTGAACCAAATGTTTGCTGCCATGATTTCAGTGGTTTGTCGTCTGCAGGAATTAGTTTTATAAAATTTTACTCTAATAATTTTTATTACCTGCAGTCATTTATTTAAAAGCCTGTTATAGAACATATTCATAAAATCAATGACGGTCTGGGATTAAACTGGATTAATCTGGTTTCCCTGTAGATGAGGAGGGGGCACCATCTTCTAACTAGAACCATCTGAATGTCTGATCATGGATGGAAGAAGAAAGACACTCTGTTCCCGAGGTGGAGAAAATATTTTTCTAAATTAAATGGAATTAAAATGGATTCAAACAGGAAGCAGATGGATGTCCACTGATGTCCACTGATGTCCACTGATGTCCACTGATGTCCACTGATGTCCAGAGTGCTGCAGAGAAGAGGCTGCAGGCTGAATGAAGCTCCAGGCATGCAGATAAAAGCTGTCAGCTTTCTATTTGCAGACTGAAGCCTTCCTGAGATAAACAGACACCAACCCTTTAGTTCATCACCAACACTGGAGATTCTGATTAGCAGCAACGTTCCAGCTTCTTTACATACCGGCTTCTTTTCTAAGTTAAAGGAGCTTTTTAATACTTTTTATATGAATTAAATGAGCCGATCTTCCAGGTTTATCACATCCAGACACAACGGATATCTGGATAAAGGTTAATATATGAATTTTGGTGCAGCTCAGGTACAAATTTGGCAAAATAAAAAAAAAAATGTGAGGAAGCAAGAAGTGACACTTGGCTTTAAAATAGAAACCAGTAGATAATAGAAATAACTATTGAAAGACGTGTATTACCAGGTTGCTCACATCCTTTGGATTTAATGAAATACATGGAAACGTGAAACAATCCAATAATGACTTAATAGAGTTAGAAGCTTCTTTTAAGCTTTTTCACATGACTTTACTGCTGAAATGCAGAAACTATCCAGGGAAACTGTCCACTTTTATTTATTTTATGTTTGATATTTACAGTCTAGATCAGGGACGTTCATAACAGCTAAACTTAAAGCACAGCTGCATTAAATCCTCTCTGAACACTGATTCATTCTGTATTTATCAGCTAATAAAACAAACTGCAGGAAGAAGAGCCTGAAAGGCTTCAGCAGCTTACATTTTGAGAGAAGATCTAAGAGCTGCTAACAACACAAAAGCTCCATCTTTAAAAAGCCAAAGAAGATTCCCAGATAATATGTTCAACTACAATAAAGATTATTTAGTGAAAGAAGTGGAGCAGCAGCAGACTCTTTGGTCGCTGGAGGAGATGTTTGAAAGGCACTCTGAGGAGGACTGATATGAGCAAACAGATAAGAGGCAGTGCATCTTTGCTTTTCCTAAAATGGACTGCAGCAGCCAAAGGTCCAGGATCTGCCCTCAGGGTGTCTTCATGGACATATATAGTCCAGCAGCGGTTTTAGCCATCAGATGTTTCCTAGTTTGGCTCAAAGAGAGCATTTAAAACTGCTTTCCTCTTCAAAACAGCATCAGTTCTCCAGGGAGGACTGGAAGAGAAGCACATTATTCATTGACGTGTTGGTCTGTCTAGGCTGAACCTTCCTCGTCCACCATGGGTGATGCTCTGATGGCAGAGTTTGGAAAGGCTGCTCCTTTTCTGAGGAAGTCAGACAAGGAGCGTCTGGAAGCTCAGACTAGACCTTTTGACATCAAGACCGAATGTTTTGTTGTTGATGATAAAGTAGAGTTCATGAAAGGACAGATCCTCAGCAAAGAAGGAGGCAAAGTGACTGTCAAGAAGGAGGATGGGACAACTGTGACGGTGAAGGAGACAGATGTTCATCCCCAAAACCCGCCAAAGTTTGATAAAATCGAGGACATGGCTATGTTTACGTTCCTTCATGAGCCGGCGGTGCTATTTAACCTCAAAGAGCGTTACGCTGCATGGATGATTTACACCTACTCTGGGCTATTCTGTGTCACTGTCAACCCATACAAGTGGCTCCCCGTCTACGACTCCGAGGTGGTGGCAGCCTACAGGGGTAAGAAGAGGAGTGAAGCTCCCCCTCACATCTTCTCCATCTCTGACAATGCCTACCAGTACATGCTGACCGACCGGGAGAACCAGTCCGTCCTCATCACCGGAGAATCTGGGGCAGGAAAGACTGTTAACACCAAGAGGGTCATCCAGTACTTCGCCAGCATTGCAGCAGTTGGAGGCGGGGCCAAAAAAGACAGCAGCAAAGGGACCCTGGAAGATCAAATCATCCAGGCAAACCCAGCACTGGAGGCCTTTGGCAACGCCAAAACACTGAGAAATGACAACTCGTCTCGCTTTGGAAAATTTATCCGAATTCATTTTGGCACAAGTGGTAAACTGTCGTCAGCTGACATCGAGACGTACCTGCTGGAGAAGTCTCGTGTAACTTTTCAGCTAAAGGCTGAAAGGAACTACCACATCTTTTACCAGATCCTGTCCAATCAAAAGCCTGAGCTGTTGGATCTGCTGCTTATCACCAATAATCCATACGACTACTCGTACATCTCCCAAGGAGAGGTAACAGTCGCCTCCATCAACGACTCAGAGGAGCTGATGGCCACTGACAGTGCCTTTGATGTTCTAGGTTTTACCCCTGAAGAAAAAATGGGTGTCTACAAACTGACCGGTGCCATCATGCACTACGGCAACATGAAGTTTAAACAGAAACAGCGAGAGGAGCAGGCAGAACCCGACGGTACTGAGGCTGCAGATAAATCCGCTTACCTCATGGGCCTCAATTCTGCCGACCTCATCAAAGGGCTGTGCCATCCCAGAGTCAAGGTCGGGAACGAATACGTTACCAAGGGCCAAAGCGTTGACCAAGTCTACTACGCCATCGGAGCACTGGCTAAGTCTGTGTATGAGAAGATGTTCAACTGGATGGTGGTTCGGATCAACCAGTCGCTGGACACTAAGCAGCATCGTCAGTACTTCATAGGAGTGCTGGACATTGCTGGTTTTGAGATATTTGATTTTAACACATTTGAACAGCTGTGCATCAATTACACAAACGAGAAACTGCAACAGTTTTTCAACCATCACATGTTTGTCCTTGAGCAAGAAGAGTACAAGAAGGAGGGGATTGAATGGGAGTTTATCGACTTTGGGATGGATCTTCAGGCCTGTATCGATCTGATTGAGAAGCCTTTAGGAATCCTTTCAATTCTAGAGGAAGAGTGCATGTTTCCCAAAGCCAGCGACCAGACCTTTAAGGCTAAGCTTTATGATAATCATCTAGGCAAGAACAAGATGTTTGAGAAGCCAAGGGCAACCAAGGGGAAATCAGAGGCTCATTTTGCCCTGGTTCACTACGCTGGCACTGTTGATTACAACATTGGTGGTTGGCTGGTCAAGAACAAAGACCCTCTAAATGAAACCGTGGTTGGTCTTTACCAGAAATCCTCTCTGAAGCTGTTAAGTCTGCTGTTTTCAAGCTACTCAGGAACTGACGGCGCAGAAAAAGCAGGTGGCAAAGGAGCCAAGAAGAAAGGTTCTTCCTTCCAGACAGTGTCTGCTCTTCACAGGGAAAACCTGAATAAGCTGATGACCAACCTGAAGACCACCCATCCCCACTTTGTCCGCTGTCTGATTCCGAATGAAAGGAAAACTCCAGGGGCCATGGACAACTGCCTTGTGATGCACCAGCTCCGGTGTAATGGTGTTCTGGAAGGCATCAGAATCTGCAGGAAGGGGTTCCCGAACAGGGTGCTCTACGGTGACTTTAAGCAGCGCTACAGAATCCTGAATCCCTCTGCCATCCCAGAAGGCCAATTCATCGACTGTAAGAAGAGTGCTGAAAAGCTGCTGGGATCCCTTGACATTGACCACACACAGTACAAGTTTGGACACACAAAGGTGTTCTTCAAAGCCGGGCTGCTGGGAACCCTGGAGGAGATGCGAGATGAGCAACTCTCTCGGATCATCACCAGGATTCAGGCTAATGCCAGAGGGCTGCTGATGAGGGAAGAGTTTGCCAAACTGGTGGAACGCAGAGATGCCCTGATGGTTATTCAGTGGAACTTAAGATCCTTTCTGGGTGTGAAGAACTGGCCCTGGATGAAGCTGTTTTTCAAGATAAAACCCCTTTTGAAGAGTGCAGAGGCAGAGAAAGAGATGGCCAACATAAAGGATGAATTCAAAAAGGTGAAGGAAGCACTGGAGAAATCAGAAACACGGCGGAAGGAACTAGAAGAGAAAATTGTGACTCTTCTTCAAGAGAAGAATGATTTGACTCTGCAGATACAGTCTGAACAGGACACCCTGACAGACGCTGAGGAACGCTGTGAACAGCTGATTAAGAGCAAAATTCAACTGGAGGCCAAACTGAAAGAGATGAATGAAAGACTAGAAGATGAGGAGGAAGTGAATGCTGATCTTACAGCTAAGAAGCGCAAGCTTGAAGATGAGTGCTCTGAGCTGAAGAAGGACATCGATGACCTAGAGCTAACTTTAGCCAAGGTAGAAAAGGAGAAGCATGCTACAGAGAATAAAGTTAAAAACCTCATGGAAGAGATGGCTTCCCAGGATGAAAACATCCTGAAGTTGACCAAAGAAAAAAAAGCACTGCAGGAGGCCCACCAGCAGACACTGGACGACCTTCAAAGTGAAGAAGACAAGGCCAACAGTCTGACCAAAGCCAAAGCTAAGTTGGAACAGCAGGTAGATGATCTGGAGGGCTCCCTGGAACAAGAGAAGAAAGTCAGAATGGACCTGGAGCGCTCAAAGAGGAAGCTGGAGGGTGACCTGAAACTGAGCCAGGAAACCCTGATGGACTTGGAGAATGACAAGCAGCAGCTGGAAGAAAAACTAAAGAAAAAGGACTTTGAGGTCAGTCAAATAAACTCAAGACTGGAAGATGAGCAGATTGCTTCAGTTCAGCTCCAGAAGAAGATGAAAGAAAACCAGGCAAGAATTGAGGAGCTGGAGGAAGAGCTGGAGGCTGAGCGTGCAGCGCGGGCCAAGGTGGAGAAGCAGCGCTCAGATCTTTCCCGTGAGCTGGAGGACATCAGTGAACGTCTGGAGGAAGCCGGAGGGGCCACATCTGCTCAGGTGGAGTTAAACAAGAAGAGAGACGCTGAATTTCAGAAGCTGCGCAGAGAGCTGGAGGAGTCGACTCTACAGCATGAAGCTACCGCTGCCACCCTGAGGAAGAAACATGCTGACAGTGTTGCTGAACTGGGAGAACAGATAGATAACCTGCAGCGTGTGAAGCAGAAACTGGAGAAGGAGAAGACAGAGCTCAAACTGGAGCTGGACGACTTGGCCTCAAACATGGAGAGCATCGTCAAAAACAAATCTAACATAGAGAAAACGTGTCGCACCATGGAAGACAACATGAACGAGTACAAAAGTAAATACGAGGAAGCTCAGCGAAGTGTCAATGACTTGACCACTCAGAAGGCCAAACTGCTAACTGAGAATGGAGAGCTAGGACGTCAGCTGGAGGAGAAGGAGTGCTTGATTTCTCAGCTGACCAGAGGAAAGAACTCCTACAACCAACAGGTTGAAGATCTGCGCAGACAACTAGAGGAGGAGGTAAAGGCCAAAAATGCTCTGGCACATGCTCTACAATCCGCTCGCCATGACTGTGATCTGCTTCGGGAACAGTTTGAGGAGGAGCAGGAAGCCAAGGCGGAGCTACAGAGAGCTCTGTCTAAGTCCAACACAGAAGTATCCGCCTGGAGAACCAAGTATGAGACTGATGGAATCCAAAGAACAGAGGAACTTGAAGAAGCAAAAAAGAAGTTGGTTCAGAGACTGCAGGAAGCTGAGGAGGCAATCGAGGCGGTGAATGCAAAGTGTTCATCTCTGGAGAAGACCAAACACCGCCTTCAGAATGAGATTGAAGACCTCATGCTGGATCTGGAGAGATCTAACGCTGCATCTGCTGCCCTCGACAAAAAACAAAGAACCTTTGACAAAGTCCTGGCAGAATGGAAGCAAAAGTTTGAGGAGTCACAGTCTGAACTGGAAGCCTCTCAAAAGGAAGCTCGTTGTCTGAGCACTGAACTCTTCAAATTGAAAAATGCCTACGAGGAATCCCTGGATCAACTGGAGACAATGAAGAGAGAGAACAAGAACCTTCAGGAGGAGATTTCTGACCTGACTGAGCAGCTCGGAGAGGGCGGCCGCAGCGCCCACGAGCTGGAGAAGATCCGAAAGCAGCTTGAACAAGAAAAGGCTGAACTGCAGTCTGCACTGGAAGAGGCGGAGGGTTCCCTGGAACATGAAGAGACCAAGATCCTCCGTGCTCAGATGGAATTTAACCAAGTGAAGGCTGAAATAGAGCGTAAGCTGGCTGAAAAAGATGAGGAAATGGAGCAGGCCAAGAGGAACTACCAAAGAATGTTGGAGTCTCTTCAATCCTCTCTGGAGTCTGAAACCAGGAGCAGAAATGAAGCCTTGAGGATCAAAAAGAAGATGGAGGGTGACCTCAATGAGATGGAAATCCAGCTGAGCCAAGCCAACAGGCAGGCAGCAGATGCCCAGAAACAGGTCAAGACCCTTCAGGCTTTCCTAAAAGATGCTCAGCTCCAGCTGGACGACGCACAACATGCCAACGATGACCTGAGAGAAAACATGGCTTTGCTGGAGCGGCGCAGCAATCTCATTCAGGCTGAGCTAGAGGAGGTGAGGGCGGCCCTGGAGCAGACCGACAGGAGTCGTAAACTAGCAGAACAGGAACTGACAGATGCAACAGAGCGGATGCAGCTGCTGCATTCCCAAAACACCAGCTTGATCCATCAGAAGAAGAAGCACGAGGCAGATCTCCTCAGCCTGCAAAACGAACTGGAAGACGCCATACAAGAAAACCGCAATGCTGAGGAGAAAGCCAAGAAGGCCATTACTGATGCAGCCATGATGGCCGAGGAGCTCAAAAAGGAGCAGGACACCAGCGCCCATCTGGAGCGAATGAAGAAAAACATGGAACAGACGATCAAGGACTTGCAGCACCGTCTGGATGAAGCAGAGCAGCTCGCCATGAAGGGCGGCAAGAAGCAGCTCCACAAGCTGGAGGCTCGCATCAAAGAGCTGGAGAACGAGTTGGAGGCAGAGCAGAGGCGAGGAACCGAGTCCATTAAGGCGGTTCGCAAATACGAGCGCCGCATCAAGGAACTCACCTACCAGACGGAGGAGGACCGCAAGAACATGGCACGCCTGCAGGATCTGGTGGACAAGCTTCAGCTGAAGGTCAAGTCCTACAAACACACAGCTGAGGAGGCAGAGGAGGCGGCAAACGCCAACATGGCCAAACTCCGCAAGCTGCAGCACGAGCTGGAGGAGGCAGAGGAGAGAGCGGACATCGCAGAGTCGCAGGTCAACAAGCTGAGAGCCAAGAGCAGGGATGGATCCTCCAAGAAAAGCTTGGATGACTGAGGAGGTCTGGGTGAGTTCTTCATGCTGCAGCGGCTCAGATTCTCAACAACCACCCAGACCTTGAAGGTCCAGACCCTGAAGGTTTCAGGGTCTTCAGGTCAGGATCCAGACCTTCAGGGTCCAGACCTGAAGACCCTGAAACCTTCAGGGTCTTCAGGTCTGGAGCTTCAGGGTCCAGACCTTCAAGGTCTGGGATTATTTAACGCTGAGGGATTAAACCAAAACACAGTGATAAAATGAGGAGTGCATTCATGTTTTCTTTGTCAGTGTTTTAATTCAAACATAGATATTCGTCTCTCAAACTAATCACTCAGTTCTTATCCTCAGGATTTTAATTCAATTGATTGAAATAATTTCTGCTCAGATTAGAAAACAGGAAGTGCAGCCATGAATCCATATTCAGATCCAGATTAATCCAGAAGCATTTCAGTTGCCATAGAAACACAGCATCCCTTCAGGTTTCTGATTCTGCTGACAGACTCTAAATCTGTTTCTTCTATAGGTTCTGGTTCTGGACGTCTGGTAGCGAACCCGCCACGCCTCTGATCTCTACAACCTTCCTGCTGACAAATAAAAACTGTGTTTGATGTGGAAATGATGCTCAGCTGCTGTAATGACCTGTTAGGATATGTTGCTTTTCCATCAAACCTTCCAGCATTTAGCTTCAAACTCTATGCTGTGATTCTATATAGATATATACACACAGTGTGCAGTTCACATGTTTCTAGATCTATAACATAAATTATTTCATCATCATGACTGTAGATTTTGATCAACATTTCACCAAATTTTAACCCTTTGCATGTAGGTTGTTATAAATGTTTATGTTTGTAGGAATCATTGAAGCGACTGAAGCCACCAGATTTAGAGCCGAGATGTTTGGTTCAGCAGACGCCATGTTGATGCTGAGTGGCTTTGATTTGATCTTCTAAGCTCTGTAGACTCTGTAGACAGATGAGAATAAAAGCTGATGAGAACGGCTCTTTCTCTGCATGTAAATCAATCACTGACTCATTTATGAAGGCAAAGCCCGGAATTGATAAAAACAGATTTCCTATTGGTTCCTCAGGCCCACTCTGGGCCACCAGTACGGGTCAGGAGGTTCTGGAGACCCAGATGGTGGCTGAGGGGACCTGAACCCACAACATCACTTCATTTGAAACTTGATCATAGATCTATTTTATCAGATCCAAAGTGCAGTGATCTATGCTGACAGCTCGGCCCACTGAGGATGACGAGCAGCTGAAAGCCT